TCTTAAAATCTGGGAGTGCCAGGACTGGGGCCTCTGTCATCTTTTACTTAACCAATTGAAAGCTGGCCTCTGTCTCTTCAGTCCAATGAAAATCACGCCCTTTAAAGTGCTTTATGATAGGAGCAATTAGAGTGCTAAAATTTCTGATGAACCGATGGTAGAAAGATGCCAATCCATGAAAACGTCGGACATCGTACAAACTTTTTGGCTTGGGCCAATTCAAGACTGCCTCAATTTTGGCAGTAGACACAACAAAACCCAAAAAAGTTATAGAAGTTTTGAAAAAAGAACACTTATTCTGATTGATGAATAAGCGTTCCGTCCTCACTACATCAAAAATAGCACGAAGATGATCAAAATGTGACTCTCACGTCAGACTATAAATAAATATGTCGTCAAAGTAAACTACCACAAACTTCCCCATGAAAGGTCGTAAAACCTGATGCATAAACCTCATGAAAGTACTGGACGCGTTGGATAGTCCAAAGGTCATGACCATCCACTCATACAATCCATGCTGTGTCTTAAACGCCGTCTTCCACTCATCCCCATGTCTAATTCTGATTTGATGGTATTCGCTTTTAAGGTCAATTTTCGAGAAGACCTTAGAACCGGACAACTAATCTAACATGTCATCTAGACGATGAAATGGAAACATGTACTTCATTGTAATCCTGTTAATTGCTCTACTGTCAACACACATCCGCCACGACCCATCCTTCTTCGGTACTAGTAGAGCAAGAACTGCACATGGGCTCATACTCTCACAAATGTATCCCTTCTCCAATAATTTTACAACCTGTCGTTGCAACTCTTTAGCTTCCTTGGGACTGAGACGATATGCTGGCCAGTTGGGCAGACTCAACCCTGGAATAAGGTCGATCTGATGTTGAATATCCCTCATAGGTGGCAACCCCGGAGGAAGATCCTCTGGCATCAAGTCAGAAAACTCCATTAACAGCTGCTGCACTTTTGCTAGTAAATTTGAGTCCTCCTTCACTCCATTGTTCTCACGGGACAATAGAACATATATCACTTCTCCATTCCCAATCCGTACTAAGACTTTGGAAAAATACTTATTAATTACTGGGGCAGTGGTGGTTTCTTCCCTACGAGGTGCCAAAATATTTTTTTTCCCTTTGATGCTAAGGGGATAAGTATTTTTCCTTCCATCATGAATAACACTGTGATCATATTGCCAAGGTCATCCTAACAATACATGACACGCATCCATAGATACCACATCACACCAAGCATTATCAAAATATTTTTTTCCAATCGAAAAAGACACTAGACACCGTTTCTCTACTGTTACCTTACTGCCTTCATTCAACCACGATAATTTGTATAGCTTGGGATGATGATTTGTCTTCAGCTGTAGTTTTTGGATAGCCTCTTCAAACACTACATTCTCACAACTGCCACTATCAATGATTAACTTGCAAACTTTATCGACAACTATACAGATTGTGTGGAAAACATTGGTCCTCAACCAATCATCCATTGAATCGCCCTTGGGAGTCAACAAACTCTTGCGAACGACTAGAGTCTCCTGGCCATCTACGTACAGCACATCATCATTTTCAAATTTGTCATATATATGCTCTCCAACCTCCTCGATATCCTCTATCATATCCTCTTCAATCAGAAGATTTTTATTCTTCTGACCAGCCAACTTCCTGCAATCAGTGGCCCTATGTCCCTATTCACCACATCTGAAGCACTTAATGCTTGAGTTAGGATTGTCCTATAGGGGCTTACAGGTAGGACGAGATGCTTGAGGTCGAACTGGCTGACTACTTTCACTTCTGACCACTGGCTTCCTTTTTGCTACCTTTCCATGGCAAGTGCACGCTGGTATGCTTCAGACACTGTCCACAATGCATGAAGGCATAGAACATCTTGCAGGGGCTACCTTAATCCTTCCACATACCATGCTATCATCTGTTCTTCCATTTCAGATAAATCATTCCGAGCTACCAATTGATAGAACTCCTCCGTATAACCATCAACAGATCTCGTACCTTGTCTCAGTGAATGGAGCCATAGAAATAAAGACTAAGTATAGCCGAAAGGAAGAAAGTGCCCTTTCATCTTTTTCTTCATCTTTCTCCAATCAATGATCTTAGACTTGCCTTGCCGTTCTCGCGAACGCCTTAATTGTTCCCACCATACTGAAGCTCTTCCCTTAAGTTTGATGGCGACCAATTTTACCTTGACACGATCTGGGAACCTCCTTATACTCAAAAATTCATTCCATTTCATTCAGCCAATCAATAAAACCTTCAGCATGTAACTTACCAGCAAACTCTGGCAGATCCACTTTGAAATCGAGGTTTACATGGCGATCCTTCCATCCAGAATGCTCCCAGACTCGAGCATGTTTATGATACAGGTTTTTGAAACTGGTATCGAAATCATGACCCTCTACATCATGATTATCGAACTCTTGTTCCGTCAAAAGTTGGGTTAACTCTGTAACTTGTCTCTGCAAATCTTCAATCATCACATCCTGAACATTGCGATCACGGTGTGGGACTTCCTCAATCGAAACCTATCCTCGACGACCACGACCACGTCCACCAACCATTGTAACTAATGGAAATTTCACCGCAGGTAAATACTGACGCTCTGATACCAACTGATGCCAAATAGGATAGCCATTATCCTATAGGCTAGTTGCAACAGACAATTCGCAAGAAAGAATAAGAAAGAAATGCCAAAAATAGAGAGAATTCACTAAAAACTTCACTCAATATTATTAATAATCAGGAATGATGAAAATTAACCCACAAGCTGAGTTAAATAGCTGCAAAAATATGAAATTATCGAAAAATTATCAAAATTAGTAAAATTCTAATGATCACACCAAAATAAAATATGAAATAAAAGAAGTAAGTTGCCAAAATTTTGGCTCAATCCGAATTCTCTAACATTTAGAAAAAGAGAAATGAAATATTACCATAAATAGTAAAAAATAACTAAAAATTGAATTTCGGAAAGGAAAACTATGGATTTTGGGCTCAAAATTGACGCCCATCAAGAACAAAATATTGGAGACCCACTGGGAGATTCCACATGGATAATTATTCGAGAGTTAATGGTTAATCTCTAATGTTCAGCAGTGAAATTGGTCCTTTGACTTGAGGTTATCACAGTGTCTTACATGAGGGCAGTCATACTTTGACAATGTTGGATGTTGATCTACCAAGGGCCCCTAATGTAGTATCATTCGGGTATGTCAATAATCGTATAAAAGTTGTGGATGACCAATAGAGGATTCGTCACTCTTAGATAGTAAAAGATTATGATCTACATTCATTCAGTTAAGTTGATAATGAAATCCTTGGCCAAGGTATACTTATTTGTAGAAAAGGAGTTTTCGTCTTGTATTGACTTAATAGTGGAATGAAATATATGATCGATGATTGAGATTAATACTTATTTATATCTCGTAATTGATCGGATCATATTGACGAAGGGGTTATAGTTTCACGGTAAACGAATAAGTTTGATTTTGTCATACCACGTGACATTTTTCGTCACATTTATTGCCCCGAAACATCACTAGAAGTCAATCTACGACGATGAATGTGAATTGGTGATAAATAAAAAAGGGTATTTTAAATTATCAATTTTGATTAGATCAAAATAATAATTTATGTCATTAGGCATCATGATTTGGAACCTAATGGATCACATACAAAACAAAAATGAGAAGATTGAGATTTACCAATTAATTGATTTAACAAGTGTTGGATAAATTATAAATTAATTAATTCGGTTGTTTATTAATAGGCCCGAAATAATTAATTGGATTAATTAATTCATGGATCGGATTTAATTAAACAGGTTAATCAAATATTGGACCGGGTTAGTAGATGGGCCAAGCCCGTTTGGGCTTACATAAATAAAGAGATAGAGTTAGAAAACTGTAGAGATTTTCATTCTTCTTGCTAGCACAGGAAAAGTAAACCCTGGTTCTCTCTTAATCTCGTTCCCTGTGTGTAATTCTATTGGAGGCTGAACAATTAAATAGTTGTGAGTGGCAGATCAAGATTGTTGGAACAAAAGAATAGCATAGATGATGCGAACCCCGTAGCAACGTTGACTACGAAACCCACAACGAGATTGACGAACCCAAAAAGGCCAAATTAATCCAAAGTTTAGTATTAACCCAAAAGAAAGTTGAACTAAAAAATCCAACAAGAACGACACTTGAAAGGCCCCTTGATCAAGCAATCCAAGAATTAAATCCGCTTGTTTGAACGCCACAAGTAAACACTTGATAAGTTTGAAATTGTTCAATGAAAAACGATGAAGAGAAGACAATACGCCTCACTTTTAATTCAATATCAATAATGTCAAAAAGTTCTTAACAATTGAATGGAAACTCCTATTTATACTAAACCTAAAAACTAGGTAAAAATCGTGCAAAAGTCGAGCATAATCCCCAAAATATGGAAAAGAATCAAAAATCTAACAAAATATGGAAAATTGTCAAAATTGAAAAATTCGCCAAATTTTTGGCTTGTGCGGCCGCATGGTGTATTTCCATGTGGTCTCATGGTTCAACAAGAAATGGTGTTTTGATTTTCGGTATGCCACCATGCGGCTGCATGGTGTTTTTGCTGTGCGGTCGTACAAGCTTATTTTCAGCCTCCGATTTCGTCGCTTAATAACAAATTGATCCAAGTTGATTCGGCCTTCGACCTGAACATGAAAGTAGCTTCATTTTGAGTCCTGAACATGGTTCCATCAATGGTTTCTTGAAAGAGAAATCTCATCGCTTGTTTCACTTGCTTTTCCCTTGATCGTGTCATTGGTCCGCCATCGACTATCAACGGATCTCGTCTCGTACTCGCCTTCGTCGAGTTCCACTCCTAGATCATATCAATAGAAGTTTGCAGAATTAAATAAAGGTACAATTTCTATCTAAACACAAAGCAAATCCTTGATAAAAATTAAAATTTGTTTTATTTTCTGCCATGCATGATTAAGTAAATTTCCAACAAAAATTAGAATAAAAAACTAACAAGGCCATTGCTAAAAATACAATAATACCTCAGTTCTTTTCTTGGGGTGATTGTACCTGAATCGACTTCAAACTTAAACAACCCTGTCTGAATGAAATGGAGGCAATCATCTGCATCCATCTGCAGAGGCAACAACCTGCTACCATTGAGATTAAAGACACAATTTTAATGGAGATGAAAAAGTAGGGAACTCAAGAGCAGGATTTTCAATTAAAAAAGAAATCGATTTGTAAATTACACAAATTTATACTGATAACAAAAATGGGAAATCAATTAACCTCACACGCGCCAAAATCAATAGGAATGTATCCTCGTCCAAACCTTTAGTAGCCTTCAACATACTGAAAATCACCTGCATATGTCTGCAAGGACAACTACCAGCTACCATTGAGACTAAAGGCTCCATTTAAATGGAGATGAAAAAGCATGGAACCACAGAGCAAGATTTTCAATTAAAAAAGAAATCGATAAATTGCAAATTAAAAAAGAAAATACCTTCAACATCACCCATCTTCTTTTCAATTTCACAAGACATCTGAGATACATACCAAAGAAAGGAAAAATGAAGAGGTTGAGTGGATTAGGATTAATAGCCGCTATGAGAGAGGAGAAACAGAGGTAAGGAGAATGGACGGTCTAGGGTTTGATTTTATTTCGTAGTACCAAAGAAGAGGAATTGATGTAAAGAAGCAAAAGATGAAAGCAAAGCAAAATAGAGGGAAAAGTTTAAAAAAATGAAAAACAAAACAAAAAGAAATTCAGAATGTTGTGAAATTTTCAAGCGGGATTGAAATTTTTAGGAGGGAAAATTGTTTGAAATTAATATATAATTATTTTTATTATTTAATTTGATTAAATTATTAATAAATGCATAATTGATTTTGATTAAAGTAGCATAATACTTTCTTATGTGATAATTTATAATTATTGTTGGAAAGTATTTTAAATTATTATTTATACACTAAAAAAATATTCTAAATTAATGATTACTTATTATAGAACAAATAAATTCATTAAGTTAATCTATTTATCATGTTAATATTGATAATCAAATTTTTTTAGGGACAATTCACTTTCTTTGAAATACGTCACTTTTGTTCATTTAAATAGTTCAATCATATATATTGCTTAGAATTGAAATTGAACAATTCAAGTTCAAGTATGGTTCTAGTAATTACGTGTAATAAAATGGTTCCATATACAAAATACTCGAAGTATTTTGGATAATTTTCTGTGTCACTCTCGACCATCCTGTGGACCGTACTGTCAAGAATTTTATTCCATGTTCACATGTGCAGCTAAGTTCAGAACAGGATGGGTTCAGAGTACCCACCTCATTTATTTTATTTTTTATGTAAATAGGAAGGAGCACCCGAAGTATATAGTTATAGAAGGACATAGTCCTCTTGAAATTATTTGAATACTTTTGACAATAAATATTATGCTTATAGTTAATTACCTTAGTTAAAAAAATTTAAACAATTAAAACAATAATATAGCTGTTGAATGTCGAAAACTATTTCGGCACCAAATTAGAGTTGTTAACCAAATTGTCATAAACTTTCAACGACTAAACATAATCAACTGTTGAATGTTACCTTTAATGACTATGTAGTACTAGTCGTTGAATGTTAGAAACTATTTTGATGCCAAATTAGGTTTGGTAACTAGGTTGTCATAAACCTTTAACAACTAAAAATAATTGGTCGTTGCATGTCACCTTTAATGGCCACTAAATAAATAGTCGTTGAATACAACGAGATTATGATCGTTGAATATTTATTATATTATACGTGTTTCTAACAACCAATTTTGTTGTCATTGAATATGCACTGAATTTTGGCTCCCACTCACAACGACCAATTTTTATTTCGTTGTCGAAAATATAGAACTAAAAATTAATTTTTTGGTCGTTGTAAGATATTTTCAACTAATTTAAAATTATACTGTTCATCATTCAATATCAATGACCAAACTTATAATTTAGTTGTTGAAAAGAGTTTTTAACGACCAAATTGATGTGGTTTTTGAAACATAAGTTGTAAAATATCATTTTTCTTGTAGTGATTTTTCAACATCTCTCGCTCGCACATGATGTTTTCTCCCTTTCTTAGGGCGTAATAGATTTTAGTTCAAGTATTTTTCGATACCTAACTTCAGTTCTCGTTCATGTTTATTCGTCCACACAATCTCAAATTGAGAACTCAGTCTCGATAATAAACAGACTTAATGGATAGAAAAATATATTTCAATTACTTGCTATAATCTCATCTTGATATCTCATTAAGGAGATCGGATCACGTACGCAACATGATCACTTTGTCTCATCTCAACACACATCAAAGTATCTGAATCAATTGTTCATTTGAGTGAACTAATCTCAACCTATTCGACATACTATGTACGTTCATGCAAATCAATATCTCGTAATCCTAACATTAGATAACACATGACTCAAAATTGTTTATCTGTGGGCATACAAAACTCAATCAAGAGTTTTCTAATTCACTAAGCATCATATTCTACACAATTCTAGAGATACAATATTATCAACAAGTATATCTCTTTACATTTTTAGAGTATGATGATTACATACTATCATTTAAGTAGATATATCATAAAGACACTTTCTTTACTAATGCCTCTCATAAAAATACCATCAAATGTGTGGTTCCATGATACTTGGAAATCCACAACACATGAGATAATGGCATAATTATCATGAGTCTCATATTCTCAACCAGTATCATTAGACGGCCAATATATCTTTACCAAAAACTTTCTTTGACTACCAAGATATACGCTAGAAGATATACTTCATACTACTCTATATAGCAAGCGTACACAAGTCTAATTATTAATTATGCTCGATTGACTCTCTTCCTTAGTCGATATTTGCATATCTATTCCAATAACAAGTTATTTCTTCAAAAACAAAATGGAAAAACATATGGTAGCACCATTTGGTATCATAATACCATTTCCAAGGATCATGTTGATACCTACTGACTAGATCCATGTCGTGAGAAATGTTAGAACGAGTATACATTAGCATACTTCTAACTCCTAATCGTACTAGATATGATTCTCTGAATATTTCTTTGAGTACTTATAGAGTCTTTGGAGATATATAAAGACTCATATAGTCGCCTTTCGATATAGGAGTATCAACAGTGTAGCAATTTCACAATTAAAAATAGGAAAATTTGTAGCAGAGGACCCAAACATTTATAACATTAGCAGACTTTTTTTAAATCTTTAATTTGTTGCAATCGTCACCTCAAACCTTTCGAAACGTTGTAGCGAAGGCCCATTTGGATGGTTTTCATCCAAAAGTCTGTTAGTTGACTAAAAAATTTGAATTTCACCATATTTTTAATTGTTTTAAAAGGGTAAAATAGTAACTCTCCATTTACTATATTAATATAAGTGAGAAATTAAATTAAAAAAAAAGAAATAAGAAAAAAAAATGAAGTCAGTCGTCTTCTTCTTCCCACCACCTACCCACCCCACCCCCACTCCCACCTCAAACCCAAACCCAAACCAAAAATCAATTACCGCCACCTCCACATCCGCCTCCACCTCCACCTCCATTTCCACTCTTGATTTTTTGCATATCTTAATTTGTGTAGAATATAAGTGCACAACATTTATTAGAAAAGATATCAGATGCCACACTCTATATTTTGCAAATCTCAGATTTGCGTAAAAACCCAATTTCCATGGCAGCAAACATTTAGTAGAAAGATATGGCATCTGATATCTTGCACAGTAATAGAAAGATATTAGATTTGTGTAAAAACCCAAATTCTTCAACGCTGTATATGCCGCGAGCTCCCTTAAATCCATGGCATTCGTATTGAACCCAAATCCGTAGTCCCTTTGAAGTTTGTCCAAGTCAGACTTAATTCCAACGCCCACAAAGTTGTAGTCCAATTCTGAGAGGAGCTCAACGAGATGGTAGGGAATATAAGAGGAGTGGATGAAGAAGACGACTGGGGATTTCTAGATAGAGAGAGAGAGAGGGGGGGAGCTGGGGAAGATGATACACAGTTTTGATTTTTTTTTCTTTTTTTAATTTAATTTCTCACTTATTTTAATGTAGTAAATGGAGAGTTACAATTTTACCCTTTCAAAAAAAATTAAAAATATGGTGAAAGTCAAATTGTTTAGTGAACTAACAAATTTTTGGATGAAAATCATCCAAAGAGGCCTTCGCTGCAACATTTCGAAAGGTTTGGGGTGACAGTTGCAACAAATTAAAGGTTTGTGGAAAGTCTGCTAAAGTTCTAAAGGTTTGGGGCCTTGCTGCAATTTTCCCTTGAAAATATTTTAGAATCTAAATAATATACAACTCTTGCAACAAAGTAAGAAGACTACAATAATCTTTTTAACACAAGATGCACAATTTGCTAAACCTATGTCATTTGCTTCAAAGATTAATGACAACCATTTCAAAATAGTCTCAATACACTCCTTCTCATGCTTTGGTAGTATAATATTATCAACAATAAAATTACAATTACAATTTACTTTCAGACCTTTATAAAAACATAGTGATCTTTATACATATGATGAAATTTTGTACAAGAATTAAACTCTGTTAAAACTCAAGTACTAATTGTCAAGATGACTCCATTAGGTTACAAATGTAACTATAGAGTTACCACAATACTATAAATCCATTTAACATGGTACCTACAAATTGATTCATGTAGATCTCTTTAATGAATTCTCAATTGAAATTCAAAGTATAATTTCTCTAAAAAAATGAGCTTTATCTTCCACTTAGTTTTTTAAGAACCTAAATGTTTTCAATAAAAATAATGTCCCATTAGAACTTCCTCTAAATCTCAAATAAGATTGGAATTCTGTACTCTATATATACTTCCATCACTTTCCTCAAATTTCTTCATTAGTTTTCTGAACCAAAAATCATTTAAATTAAATATCTCTTAGGTCCTACCCATAACCACAAATAATTGAAATTAGATAGTTCTTTAATAGCTCCTATTTGAAAATAGAGTATTCCCATTTGAATCAGGAGTTTAAACCAACTCCCATGTATTTAAAACTAATTTATCAATACATATAATATAAATTTCAATAATATTCTCCAAAATTTTCTCCCCTACTAGGAAAAAATGTCAAATGTCACATCTTGTGATCCAAGGTCCATCCAAAATCGTACTTCAGTACCTTTTTGGACTATCATGTCAATCACAACGATATATCTCGATCTAAATAGACTCATGTTCCCAAACTCCTTATTAAGAACTTGTATGTCGATTATGAATATAAGATAACTCATATTTGGTTATCAACGTGTCCAAAGCTTATATATTCTGAAAGTACTTAGTTAACCGACACTCTTTTCAAAAACAAAATACATAATTGGACTGCATTATCTTAAGCCTCACCATATTCACTAGTATTCCATTCCTTCTACCTAGTAAACCATATAATTAACGGTGATTAAGGAATAGTCAATCTAATAAGAATTTTTCTTTTATTATCTAGGTTACTGAACTCCCATGATAGAGATTTACACTCTCAAACAGTTCCAAAGTCTCCACTTCCAAAACTTGATTTTCTACTCCACTTCAAAGAAGCCTGAATCAATACAATATCTTCAACTTAAGAAAACCAGAGGCACGACTATAAATGCTTGAATCCAGCCATAA